TTGTAGCCCTCTAGGTTCCTCTGTCCATGGCATTTCTCAGGCAAGAATACTGGAGTGGGCTATCATTTCCTTCTCCAGGAGATCTTCCCAACATAGGGCCCAGAGATTGAACTTGCACTGGCAAGAGGATTTTTTTTTTTTTACCATTGAGCCACCTGGAAGGCCCTATATTAAACTAGAGTGACATTAAGGAAGTTACCTAACTTCCCTGAGTCTGTCTTTCTTTCTCTTTACAACAGAAATATTTGATAAGGTTTTCAAAGATCTCTTGTGACATTTATTGAGATATCTGAGATGAAATCCCTAAAACAGTGGCTGGAATAGAATAGAAATTTGACAGAACAATGTTACTGTGAAGAAGTTGTTTTAATCTCACTCAAAGGATCTGTATGCAGGTATTTTGCTTCAATGTTCAACATAATCCAATCTTTTAGTATACCAACTCTTTTCTTGCTTAGACAAAAGAGGGGAAATCATGAAGAGCTTTCATTCTGAAAATAATGGATGAAAAAGTATTATCAGGCAAGGAAACAGATAGGATGCAGACTGTGGTGGAGAGTTGCCATGGTAACGTTTTGCACATCCCCTGGTTCTGCCTGGCTCCTTCTTGTCCCCCTAAGGGCATATACCCTTCTCATCTGACGGGTGGAGTCGAACCAAAGAAAGGGCGTGTTCACCACTCTCAGTCATGAGAGATCATCAATGAAAGGGAAAATAAAAAACACATTTCTCCAGTGAGAGATCTGCTTTCCTCCTAAGAGAAGAAAATGAAACAAATCTTATTCAGTCAGTTATATAATATTTTGAAGCACTACTATGTACTCTGGAAATCCAATAAAATCTAAAAATAGAGTCATACCTGACTTATGAAGCTTACAGTCCAGTAAAGACAAATAAAATAATCAAAATTAATTACACAAATATATAATTATAGATGAGTTACATATTTGAGTACATTATAAATTATACATGAGTACATATATTTACATATATGTAAATGAGTTACATATATATATATATATGTATGTATAAATTATAATGTAGTGAGTCACATGAAGGAAAAATATACTAAATGTTGAGAGAATACTTCCAGAAAATATAAGTCCAAGGATCAGAACAGCTCACACAAAGAGAAGACAAATTGGCCGACATCTGAGAGATGGACAGGGATTAACGAGGTCAAAAGATGGGGAGAGAAATCCTGTATTGGGGACTCAAGAAAGAACACGGGAACATTTGGAAACCACGTAAGTGACAGTTGGGCTGAAACACAGAACAAGAAGGGCACAGGGGCAAAATATCATCTAGGGAATGAAGAAATAAGCTAGATAATTTAAAGCATATAGGTTTTGGCAAAGATTTTGTTCTTTACGTTAATTACTGAAGGACTTTACATAGGAAAGACATTAATGAAATTGCATTTTGAAACACTAACTCTGACTATCCCTAAACAATGGAGGGAGAAACAACTTGAGGCCAGGAAAATTATGCTGAGGCTCATGTAGCTGGTTCAATAAAGAGATGTAGTAGCTTAAACTAGGCAGTAAATGGATTCCAGAGGTATGAAGCAGATTTATTTGCTTAAATTTGCTGGTGGACTAGATATGGGAGGTAAGAGACGGTGAATGACAGCTAAGCATTGATCACGGTCAGAAGAAGGGAGAGAGAAAAAGTTACCCTAAGTACAAAGTACTATGATGTGCTATGATGGGTATCACATTCTGACTTCTACATGTACTGGTTCTTCTGAGAAATCCTTACTGAGAGGGAATAAAAGAAAGTACATGTAAACAGGGAGGGTGTGGCTCTGGGAGACTGCCCTTTAGTGTTTTCCACTAGGTGGAGAGGTCACACGTATGGAAAATGTGATGCAGTGGATAATTTTATGAGTATACGGATGCTGTTTGCCATAGCCAGCCTCCAGGATTTCCCACAAAGACCCTTGTATAACACTTGTCTAGTCCCTCCTGCACCCTCGTGACCAACAGAATATGGCGGAACTGATGTGCTTATTTAACTAATATTTCTTGAACATATAGTGTATACCAGGCACTGTTACAAGCCATTAGGAATCAATACTGAAATAGTGAGTCGGTGAAAGTAGAAGAAACAGTAATGTGTCATATTTTATCATGTGACAATTATAACGAGGGTATACATTGCTGAGGAAAAATGTAAAATTCTGGGTGATCGTTCACATGAACAATATTTGTATTATTCCAGACTTAGCACACTGCTCTGCACTTAGTAGGTACTGTAAATGCCACAATGGATTGATTGAACAATAGAGGCTTTTCTATATTTATAACTTAATCAAAATAGGATAAATAAAAAGGAGGGTTCTGGTCCTCATTGAACATGTGGCTCTGCATACTGTACTTCATTCACTTATTGCCAACGAAGCCATAACTATTCAGACTTTATAGATGTCTAAGACTTCACACTTAGATAGAATAAATGCAAGCCAGCCTGTACCTGTCATCTCAGGATGATGACAGGACTTTAGAAGAGCAGTTATTTTGGAACTAGTTAAGTATTTGCTCTATTTGGCATTGATCATCCCTATCAAGCATTTTGTTTGTTTTCCAAGGACTATTATTTGTTGATATGACCTTTTCTAAAAAGGACAAGGATGATAATGGCAATCATCACTGAGTAGGGGAATCAATAAAGTTATATCTCTGTCACACACATATACACACAGGGCTTTTAAAATCTTACTAAAAGATTGCATTAACAAATCATAAACGTTCTACACAGGTAAATCTGAGCAAGCTTAACTGATTTCCTTAGATATATATTAAATCTAAAGGCTGGACTCAATTTAACCAGTGAGTTCCAGTTAACACATTTGGTGCATTGTTAGTATAAAAATTTGCTTCATAGGATAAATCATAAGAAGGACAAGAAACCTAGAGCAGCAATGACTTGCAAAATCTTAAGTGGCTGGAAAAATCATGGAAGCAAAAATTAACCTGTCCTAATTTTTAAGCAGTTAATAATTATCTACACAAAGAGGTGCAAAGAAATGCTTTAAATCATAGGACACAATAAATTAAGATTCAGTACCAAGCAGGACAGAGCAAACATATAAAAGGAAAAAGAAAGATTTGACTTACAGGTCAAGAAATAACAAGATGAGATAAACTTGAAAAGATTCAAGTAATATATAAAAATTATCAAGAATACAAACCTCTTCAGCTGGAGAAGGATCAATGAAAAGTTGCAAGAAAGAAAAAAAATGATTAGGTACCAAATGTACAGTGAATTGAATAAGAAAGATAAGGTGATATTAGCAAATAGAAAGGTACCATTGGCTAACAGATGTAATAAGAACTTATCATGGAATCATGATAAATCATGAACCCTTTCTATATGCCACACACAAGTTACAGTCTCTAGAGGGAGTGTGCAGAATGTGAAGAAGAAACCAGGGGGAAAATTAGCCAAAACATATTTTTTTAAAGGCATTTTAAGTTACAAAATGGCAGGATCTTGATACTGATGAGGGTCCTGAGACCATCTCAAACATTCAAAAAGCATGTAACTTTCTCATAAAATGCAGCAAAACAAGGCTTCTGCAGAGTTCATATCTAAAGAGCAAATGCCACTCTGAGATGAAGAGAATAGCCACATCCCCTTCTTCATTCACTAAGGACACACACCCTAAATCTAGGACCCTTGACTCTAATTACTGACTTGGGGAAGTAATGAATTATATATAACTATACAACAAGCACCTTTGGGGTCATACACAAATAGTTTTACTAGTGGATCTTCAAAGTCACAGTGAAATTTTCTGGTGTGATTATTAGAAGGCAAACTTCTAGGCTAAGGGGCTATTTTAATAGTCATTCAATATTATTTGGATATAAGTAGCCTTCAGTCTATACAAGAGGTTAATATCAAGTGTATCATTCTAAGTAGATACACTATATTTTGATCCAAGACAGCAAGTAGAATGATGGGGCACATCCAAGGGTAACAGATTAACAATTAAATTACATGTGAGGCAAAAACAAAAATAGTGTTTTGTATAATCAAAGCATTCCTGAAGGTTTCGGTGTAAATATAAGACAAGGAACAGGACAGAGTGATAGCCTCTCCAGTTTCTTCCTATCTCAGGATATTTCTAATGGTAGCGATTATCCTGTAAGACCGTTTAACTTGCGTTGTTTTACTCTCTTAACTGAAAAGCAAAAATGCTTCCTAATGTAACATAAGAAACCATTCTTCTTCAGCTCAAGAGCAAGTAATAATTATAGTTCTACAACTGAGTGGCAGGACTTCATCAATTACACAAACCAAACAGCCTGACTTCTTTTGATGATGACGACAGAGCTCATAAACAAATCAACGGAGTTTTCATTGCACTGACTACACTTAAAAAAATATATGGAGTAGGCATGTTGATAAATGCCTCTATGTTTTGCGGCTCCTCCAGTGGAACTGACTCTCTTCTTAAAGAACATGAACGTGCATTCCCTACCTTGTTTCTCAATAAAAGAAATCTGCTCCAACTCTGGAACTTGGTGGAAAAGGAAGAAGCATTAACTACATTGGAGAAGATCATACCAATGTATAATCCCAGTAATTTATATGATTGTATCACAGTTGCAATTGAGTAAAAGATACCAAAGTACTAAAAATATAATAAAGATAAATTGGCCCATATCTCTTAATATAAGACTGAGAAGACTCACAGATCAACGTATATGATTTAATCGAAGAAAAGCAGTGTGTTCCTTTAACATGGCCTCGCTTCACTTATATTTCTCTTTTAGGGAATGCTTTGATTCAAACCCCATCTTAGCTAGGGATGCTTTTCTTTTACCTTATAGATAAAATACTCCATGGCAATTTCCATTAGGCTTTTTGTCCAAACATAGTATCAACTGAAGGTGAAGTATTTCTAACTGGCACCTTCTGCCCATGGTAAGGCTGAGTGAAATCTTTCTCACTGCTCTCCCCACAGAGAAGGCAGAGTATCAGCCAGACAGTGAGAATCAGAACAGAATGCCAAGGCATCCATGCTAACATAAGTTATGTTGCTCATGTACTCCTGGAGGAGGAGGACATGGAAGGACATGTCCGCGTTAGCTAGGGAGAAGTACAAATTACAAACACAAAGTGCCAAGGTCAAAGACAAAACCTGAAGAAAGGGAAGCTATTGGATATCTTTCATCAACAGAGTGACTTTGTTATTTCACTCTATCACCCCTCAGGAATCACAGTTAGAGATGGAGGAGAAAACTAAATTTTCTGAGTCCAATTTGAAGACAACCTGTTAGCTCTAATACTCTCCCAGGGTTGGAATGAAGCCTGATCATAAAGTCACTAATCAGTGATCTACACTCTAGAAGTGAGTCTACATTGCTTCACTGCTTTTCCAGAGCATCTTTTAGAATTAAAAAATGATGTCTGTGGTTAACGTGGCATACCATCTCCAGTGACTTTTTTATGTTGAAGTACCAGGGTGTTCTAGCTGACTCCACTTAGGATCAAGGTTATTTAGTGGGAATTGCATGGAAACTCTGCTCTGAGATTCCTTAAGCGTCTTTAAGGAACTGAATAAAAGGAATATAGATAATACAATCAGAATCCAGTCAGTTTCACTTGCTTGTGGCAAGACTTATTTTTAAAACCACACCATTTTTTTTCCATGCTTTCTGATTCTTATTTAAAAGTATTATACAAAATAGAAAATAATTAACAAAACATGACAAGGTTAAGATACTAGTCTAGGCATGATAAAAGATCAAACAGTGGTGGAAAAAAAAGAGAGCGCTATGGTCAAGCACACAAATTGATCCAGATATCAAATAACATTAAAGAATCAAACAAAGCCTTTCATCTGAATTTTTAGAACTCTGTAAAGCAGTAATTGTCCCCTATAAGAACTAAGAAGTCTCATAAAGGAGTAATTCTGAGCAGCCAACATTGCATATAAAGCTCCTGTCACCCTTAAGATTGCAGATCAAAAACTAGAGGCAAAGGGATCTTTTCCACTTATTTCAGGAGACTGTGGAGTGTCATGGAAAAAGCACTCTTCTTTTGAGCTCTGAACTGTTGCTTAGTTGGTAGAGCTCAGGTAACTTCCTCTGAACATCACTTTTTTTTTTCACCCATAAGGCAGAAATTACCAGAACCACTAACATATTTTTAGACAAATATTGTATGGGTATAAGAGAAAATTAAAGCATATAAAAATGCTATAAAACTGAAAAGCACTACAGAAATATGAGTTGCTACTACTTACCAGAGGAGACAATCACATTTTCTGTGTTCTGCAGAATTCTTGATGTTGGCATTCCTCAATAATATTGAGCAGTCTGGCCCCTATGACATCTTGGTTCTTCTAACCATCACCATCTTATCCTTTGACCACTTAAGGATGCTAGACCATCCATCCTTAGCCTGTCCACACAAGCAAATGCCCATCCTCATTAGCACTCTTCACAAACTAATTAGGCTTAGCAAGCCAAAATGTACCAGCAGGTGATTATGTGAGTGGCTTAAGTGTCTCCTGGAGAGTGATCTCATCTCTGCTGTCTTCTGAGAGATTGTGACTTGTGGGTGGTTGGACTCCATGATATACAGGAAACGTAAAGTTTGAGTTGGATCCGTCTCCATCCTTCTATCACTTTGTTCCAATGAAACCTGCTCAGTTTCACAGTCACAGACTGCTCTTCTGACCCCAGTCAGCTGTCTCAAAATGATTGCCCAGAATCAGATGATATTCCACAGAGCAGTGCCAGAAAGTTCCATTTCTGTGAGGAAGGAAAGCAGAATTAGAGAACCCATGTTCAATGTCAATAGCAGCTCTAGTTTCTTGAGCACCTACTATGGACCAGTCACTGTGCTTCCACACGTGAGGCAGGATAATAATTTAGAGTATTAGTTTAGATGTTTCTTTTCTGATATTTTGTCCCTTTTAATGCCCACTTTGGGCTTTTCAAGTGGCTCAGTGGTAAAGAATCTACCTGCCTATGCAAGAGATGCAGTTTTGATCCCTGGGTTGAGAAGATCCTCTGGAAAAGGAAATGGCAACACACTCCAGTATTCCCACCAGGAAAGTCTCATGGACAGAGAAGCCTGACAGGCTACAGTCCATGGGGTCGCAAGAGTTGGACATAACTGAGCGAATAAGCAACAACAACAACAAATGCACACTTCTCCCAACTTTCTTTCAAGGGTTGATGACAGAATTTCTGTTTGCTTTCTTCAAAGAAGCCTGGGGAAGAGTGACTGTGTTCAGAATTTCCACACCTAAGCAAATAAAGCTGGATGCTCCCGAGAGAAACATGGGGAAAGGTATTGGTACATATAGACTAAACAACTAGCAGAGGCAGGGTACTCTCCAGACCTGTATCAGTAAAACGTTTTCTTTGTGTTGGGTAAGAAACAAAGAAAGAAAATTCTATGGATCCTGAGAGCAGAGAAAACCTACCCCCTGGGGAAAAGGGCCGGATATGAACTTCTAAAAGATATCACCAAATACTCAGCACTTAAGCGGAGCAATGAAGAGAGAATTCAAGAATCCTGTTATCTGAAGGGGTCACACATACTGTGAGGCAATGGACATTTCAGAGGCCATATGGGTTAATCTATGACCTTAGACAAGACAGTTAACATTCCCCCCAAGACCAAAGAGCCAAAATCTTACCACTGCATGATATTCTTAAAGAGTGCATACTGCTGCTCAAGGAAAGTGAGTATTTCTGGTACAAAGGATACTGAGTTTTTATCTTTGTCTCTCTCCTAGCCCAAGACAAGAAGGGTTCAGAGTCAGAAATGACCAGTTACAGCAAATGAAGAAAGCTTGTTTTCTTCCACCCCTGGATTTATGAGTCCAGATTCATTCACACTACATGTTTATTGCTTCAATTAATCCCTATGACAGCATTATGAATTACAAATTACTCCTTCCCTTGTTATAGATGAGAAAACCTAGATAAAGATATTTAAGTCACTTCTCAAGATAGCTCAGCTAGTTTATGATGGTTCTGGCTTCAGTCCTAAGTTTTTCTGACTCCAAAGCTATCTCATCTTCAATTCTATAGCATCTATACCATGAGGTTGAGTAGGCTGGGTGAAATTCAGTGTTGGCAATTACACTACTGATTTTTCTCAAAGGAAATGTGAACCTGGAATGCATACCTGCCCCTTCATATTAGTACAAAGTGAAAAGAAATTCTGGGGTTTGGGGTCATAAAAGTCAACACTCCTGAACAACATACTTCTTAAACATTTGTGTTTGTCTTTCATAGCTGTACTTACAATTTTAAAACACCACCTAGATTCTTCATAGGCATTTTACATCCTAATTTTTCCACATGTGTGGGCTTGGTGGTGGTTCCAGAAAGGACAAAGCTCATGAGGGATAAAGATCCATCTGCAGTCATCAAGTAATTTTCTGAAGATTAGACACTTGGCTGGTATAAAGAAAACTTTGGCAAGACCCAGAAGTAGAGAAGGCAGCTGGGAACAGTTTACGGCTACTCAGGGGAGCACCACGTGCATCAGAAGGAGGCTGACAACAAGGGGCTGCTCAAAGAGCTGCCAGTAGATATTGGCACTTGCGTACTGAGACCAAGGGAGAAAAGAAGCTGCAAGATAGAGTGCCAGCTGGAATAGCAGGGCCCAGCGAGAGGATGGAGATGAGTGCTTGCGGAGGGTACAGAACACTCACTTCTGAAACGTGCAAAGAAGGCTGATGTGTGGATATGGGGGACCGGAAACAGATGCAGGACAATAACACAATCAAGCAAAATGGACAGCTGGAATGAACGAAGAGAAGGAGGTCAGCTTCCGTGATCTTAAGAAACCTAGCCAGTTAGCATAGTCCATAAAGGGAGCCTGGTCTAGTTCATTTGGTACCAGTTACACTAGATCATTAGGTAAAGAAAGGAAAGTTTACTTAGTCATGTCTGACTCTTTGTGACCCTATGGACTATAGCCCACCAGGTTCCTCTGTCCATAGAATTCTCCAGGCAAGAATACTGTAGTAGGTAGCCATTTCCTTCTCCAGGGGATCTTCCGAACCCAGGGATCAAACTCAGGTCTCCAGCNTCTTCTCTGAGCCAACAACCAATCGCTGGTGATTTAGCAGTAAAGAATCTGCCTGCCCATACAGGAGACTGCCTGCAATGCAGGAGACGCAGTTTTGCTTCCTGGGTCAGGAAGATCCCCTAGAGAAGGAAATGGCAACCCACCCAGTATTCTTGCCTGGGAAAATCCCATGGACAGAGGAGCCTGGCGGACTACAGGCCATGGGGTTGCAAGAGTCTGACATGACTTAGTCACTAAACCACCACCAAAGAAAAGAAGGACAGGAAAACAAGATCATTATGTAAAAAAGAGAAAGACAGTACACAGATACATATTAAAGAGCAGACCAGTCTGATTAATCTAAGATCTGATGCTTTTAAAATGAATGACTTGGCAACTCTATTGTAACCAATTTTCTCATATGTAATTGGATCTGATAACAAAGAAATGATGGTTTTATTATTACTATTAAAAACTAAGATTGAATTGGCACTCAATATATGCACCAAGCACGTTTAATCAATTCTCGTAAACAATAGTTCTAAAAACTGAATGAGGTACCATAGTTGAAGTTCTGTTTTAAGGTGCTAGACTCCCGTTTTGTGTTGCCATTTAGTTGCTAAGTTATGTTGGACTCTTTTGCAACCCCATGGACTGTAGCCCACCAGGCCCTCTGTCCGTGCGATTTCCCAGCAAGAATACTGCTGTGAGTTGCCATTTCCTCTCCCTTCTCAACCCAGGTATTGAACTTGCATCTTCTGCTTGGCAGGTGGATTCTTTACCATTGAGCTCCTTCCTTGCTCAATAAATTGGAGCTACCATCAATACTGGCATTGGAATTATTCTTGTCACCTAGTTAGTCCCTAACCTCAAAGATACTCTTAACATATCCATTACTAACCTAATGCCAGATAAGATTGCAATGAAGAATTTCAATTCTAATGCTAGCCTAAATTTAAGACAAATACTCCTTCTCAAGGTGATCCAAAACATTTAGACTGACTACAAGCACCTTGTATCAGGCTGGATTCATACCTTTTATATACCCCAAGTTAGGATTTCCCATTTACGTACATAGTCATCTCACTGATGTCCATATGACATTTTATTCCTACTATCCACTAAGTAAAAACACATTCTTTACTATTCCAATCCTACACACATTTTTACTAAAAGGCGTGTGCACATGTGCTGTCAGAAGGTTATAGATTGTTTATAATCATTATACTTTTCGGCATGTATAAGAAATAAAGTGTTCTCCCTTTAATTTCCGAATGTCTAGCTCCTTTTCATCATGAATTGCCATCTCCTCAGAAAAGCCTCCCCAACCAGTCAATCTAAATTAAGTTTCCCCTATTAATCCCCATCTCAAGGCCTTGGCAATTGCTTTTGAAATACTTATCAAAATTATTTCTCAAATTTTATATGCTATTCTCTTTGTCTGCTTACTTTATATTTGTCATTAGCACCAATTACAATGTAGATTCTATGAGGGCAAGGGGCCACATTCATCTTCATCGGCATTCAGAAATATTTACTCAGTTTACACAGCGCCAGGGGTTGTCTCCAGGCATCGGGACACAGCACTGAACTGATGCTCCAGCCCTGAGAAAGAAACCCAGGGCGAAAGCACGGCAGGTGGCGCTGTGAAGAATCTGATGCTCCAGCCCTGAGAAAGAAACCCAGGGCGAAAGCACGGCAGGTGATGGCGCTGTGAAGATTCCACAACAGCGGGGCTATGCATGGCTCCTGTGCTGCAGCGACGAGCAGTCGCTGACATGGCGGAGTCTTTTCCATCAGAGGTGATTAAGCAATGGCTTCCTTGGTGGCTGAGACGGTAAAGAATCTGTCTGCAATGCGGGAGACCTGGGTTTGAGCCCTTGGTTGGAAATATCCCCTGGAGAAGGGAATGGCTACCCCCTCCAGTATTCTTGCCTAGAGAACTGCAAGGACAGAGGAGCCTGACAGGTTATACAGTCCATGGGGTTGCTGAAGAGTTGGACATGACTGACTGACTAACAATGTCACTTTTTCACTTTCCTGATAAGTGGACCCATGATGAAAAAAGGATGAAGAACTTTCCAGACGGAGGACACAATAGGTGCAAAGACTGGGAGGGGAGGATCTAGAAATCAGGCATTGTAGCTAGAGCAAGGTGGAAAAGGAGAAGAGAAGGGAGAGGTGATATTGCGAGGATACAGAGCACTACAAGGGCTCCCCTGGGGGCTGAGACAGGAAAGAACCCGCCTGCAGTGCGGGCGACCTGGGTTTGAGCCCCGGGTGGGGAAGATCCTCTGAAGGAGGGCATGGCAACCCACTCCAGTATTCTTGCCTGGAGAATCCCCATGGACAGAGGAGCCTGGTGGGCTGAAGTCCATGGGGTCGCCCAGCGCTAAGCACAGAACAGCACAGAGTGCTCTGAAGCCCCATTGATAAGGCTTTTCACTTTGCTCTGGCTGGGGTGGGAGCAAAATTGGAGAGTTCTGAATAGAGAATGATAACATCTGATTTATGTTTTAAAAGAACGGCTTTTGCCTGTTGTGTGGAAAATACTCTGGCAAAGATTGGTCAAGGGTGAACAGCTAAGAGATTATTGCAGGAAAGTGAAAGATCATGAAGGCATTAAGTGATTATGATAGAATTATACAGAGATTGCTGTAACAGTGATGGACACTGGTCAGATTCTGTATTTATTTTTAAAATAGAGATGATTAGATTT